AAAAAAAAAAAAAAAAAAAAAAAAAAGAAAAGAAAAAGTGTGTACTTTTAACAGTAGCCTAAAGTTGGCAAGAACTAAATGGAAAAGTTCTCCTCTGAGGTTCTATGTTTGAGCTGTTTTAGGCCCCGGCAGTCTGAAGTTCTGGAGAGCAAGCTGTCTTCACACTGAAAATATATTGGTCCCAAAGCTGTGAATACATTTCCTTGTAGAAACAATAATGTACTGTATATGATGTTCAGCTTCCTACAAAACCTATTTTTTTTATTTACAGAATACTTGAAAATAGTACTAACAGTATTGTAGAACCTCCCTGCTATGTACTGATGTTTCTCTGGAAAAAGAAAAGTGACCTGTGGTTTCAGAAATGCATGTCTCCTTATTTACAGTGGAACTGGGGATCCAGACTCCAAGCCAGGGCAGGGATGGGGTGGGGGGTCCTAGCAAGATACAGGATATGAGGGGAGATAGGATGAGGAGGTCAAACAGCTGGGGGTTGGGGTGGATGATGGGAATACACTAAAGCCTTGGGCACACAGGAAGTCCTCAGAGATGAGCCAGGAGCAGGTGGGCCTCCTTTCCTCTCTGTAACATGAGCACAGTCCACTCTTGCCAGGCTCCCTGTTTTTCTCTTTGAAGGCGTCCTTTTTCCTTTCTTCTTTGAGGCCCAGATGAAGGTCTACTGACTTCATAATCCTATAACTTCCTGGTACTATTTCTTTGGAGACAAGGTCTTGCCTTAGCCTCTTACATAATGGCATATACATCTGCTGTACTGTGCACCACAGTCAGAGCAACTGTATAGTAATATAAATGTGACCATATTAAAAATTCCTCAATGATCTACTTCTGGCCTATAGAATACAGATCTTCTACCCATCCCTTCCTGGTTTTGGGACTTGAACCCAGGGTATTTGCACTGAGATACAACCCCAACTCTTCTTTATTTTTTGATACAGAGTTTTGCTAAGTCATTAATTTTTCCACATTGAGCTCAAACTTGGGATTACCCTGCCTCAGCCGTGAAGCAGGCATGTGTCACCACAACCAGTCAAGACTTTCTGCTTTGAATGAAGAACAAGATCCTCTAAGTCTTTCCCCTACCTATTTCTACACCCACATCTCTCTACATCTTGTGCCTCCCACCCTCAGTTTTAGTATTATGAAGTGCCTGCCAATTCCAAGCACATACCTACTGGGCTGTCATAGCTCCTGAAGCCTGGCTTTAGCCACTGCCCTGCCTGAAATGCTCTTATCTTTCTTCTTTGGCAGCTCTCTACCATTCTCTAAAACTCAGCTTGGGATAATTTCCTGAAGCTTTGCTTGATCCCCAGGTCAGGATCTGTATACCCTCCATGCTCCTCTGTGCTCCCTATGATACCTCTTATTTTGCTTGATACATTATATGAAGCCATCTACAAGTCTGTCTTCCAGATCCATATAATGCCAAGCTTCCTTTAGGGCAGGGTCATGGCTCATTTATCTTTACATCTCAGCACCCGCCACAGTTCCTAGTAGGAATTCAGGATATACATGATGAACTGAACCAACAATGATCTGCTTGACTTGCCCCAGAATGACCTAGAGTGGGTGCCCTCCAGGCTGAGGGGCTCACTGGCCTAGCTGCTGAGAGCCTTATCAGATGATACTTGACAATTGTGTCCCTCCCTAAGAACTGCCTGGGGCTGAGCAGAGCTGGGCACAAAGCCAAAACCTCTACCAGGGCAGTCATTCTCCAGTAGCTGGTCACGATGGGGGAACAAAAGCTGGGGTCCCCCACCTTAGCTCTGCCAACCTAACTCAGACGCTCCGAACACCAGCTCAGGCTTCTGCTGCACCTGCACACAGCTCATCTCTCCCCTCTGCCCTACTGGCCTCTCAACTCCCTCAAGACTTTGTTCCCAAGGAAACCCCTCAGGAAGCTCCTGCACTCCAAGCTCCACACAGAGTCTGTTTGAAAGGAACCCAGCCCACAACAGGTCTGCAGTTCCCAAGTTGACTTGTAACAGAATGTATTCCCCAGCCTTAGTATTTTCTGGGGTTTGAAGATGGCTGGAGTATGTTCCTCAAAGGTTCATGCGCTAGAGTCTCAATCTTTGGTGTGGTGATGTTGGGAGGTGGTGTGGACCTTTCGGATGTGGGATGTTATTACATCTTTGTGGCACAACTCTTGGAAGGAATTAAGGTATTTTTGGTGGAACCTGGGTTATTTCTCCTGAGAATGAGTTTTTATAAAAGTGAGCCTGACTTGGGAGCTGCTCTGTCTTCCTGTCTTGTGATGCAATCTCTCCCTCTCACACACACTAACACCACAGCTACATCGAGTTCTACCTTGTATCAGGTATTTCACCACAGCAATGAAATACAAAGTAACATGCTATTTGACACTAGAAGCAAGTGCTCTTTCCTGAGGTTCTTTTTTATTGGGTTTGATAGTGGAGAAATGCACAGGATATAAAAGGATTCAAGTGTGTATAGGAGCTATAATGGTAATTTTTTTTTTTTTTTTGGAGTCAGGGTCTCACTATGTAGTTGAGATTGACCTGGAACTCACAATGTAGCCCAGGCTGGTTTCGAGCTCACAGTGATCCTCCTGCCTCAGCCTCCCGAGTGCTGGGATTATAGGCATGCGCAGCCATGCCCGGCTTATAATGGTGATTTTATCAGCTAGCATTTCAGAGGAAAGTTCATTCATTGGCTAGCCTTGGGATTTTACTGCAGCAGCGGGTGAGGTGAGGACCAGAAAAGTCCTCAAGTGTGGAGGAACCAAAAAGGAGGATATAGGGTGAATATAGTGGCCACAGGCACATTCAGTAACTCCACCTACTTGCTCTTCTTTTCAGAAATGAGAATGTACATGGAGGCTCTGGGTAGGATAGTGGGTGGGTGGGGAAGCTTCTCTGAGGAAGCCATGTTTAAACTGGGGATAAAAGGAGGATTACGGTTCTTCTGCAAATGGAGACCCTTCTTTGAGGTGAACTGAAAGGAGGTGGAAATGGTCATCTTTGGTAACAATCACTTCCAGAAAGCAGGGGAAGAAAACTCCCAGGTGTAGCAGGGGCTGGAGGAAAAAAATTCCTGGGACCTCATGGGTAACCAGCTATGGCAGCAACTCAATAATGACCCTAATCCAGGGCTCCAGTTCAAGGGAACAAAAATCAAGATCTATTTGTATTGTCAAAATTAAAAAGTTACCTGGTGGGCCAGGGATTAACTCAGTGGTGCCACTGCCTACCTTGGGAGTGCGAGGTCCTGAGTTCAATCCCCTGTACTGCAAAAAAAAAAAAAAAAAAAAAGCTACTGCTAAAAATGATGCATTTATTACCTTAATGCTGCTTCTTTTCCTGTTCTTTTTTCCCTTTCCCAGTTGAAACAGATATCCTTCAGAATTGCTACGAATAATTTTCATCTGGTTTCTCTCTGAACTGAGTTGGGATTCACTTTCCACCCTGGACAAGATGGGCGGAAGTGTGACATTGGAAAAGGATCCCTCCCTGGGCTGCACCTCGGCCAGCTGCACCAAAGCTTGCTGATGTTGCTCCATGATTTGTGTGAGTTGTGAATTTGGAGAAGCTCTAGTAGGTTGGCTGTATGAGGAAGAGTTGAATTTCCTTTGGGGGGGAAAAAAAACAAAAATCAAAATTTGTTATTAAACTTGAATACATAAGACCCGCATAAATGTCTCCACAGACCATCACCTCCTATATTTATCACTACCTGAATTCAAGTAATGACCTTTAGCTGAATCTTTTCATGGATATATTAATTTCTTTTGTTAAAATCTCTTCTTTTTCTTTAAGACATTCAAATCTTCTTCAGCACCGAGTGCGTTCAGAATAGAAAAAAAGCTCTACCATTTTGAAAAGTCAGAGATCTTTCCAGTATTAAATTCTTCAAAATGTTAGATTAAATTAAACAAATGTCTTTTAAATACATGGTTGAATTCACAAAAGAGGCAAGGAATTTCTAGGGATGAAAAACAATGAAATTAAAACCAAAACAAGCCAGGAGTGGTGGCACACACCTGTAATCCCAGCACTTGGGAGGCTGAGGCTCCTTAGGAGGATTGCTATGAGTTCGAGACCAGCCTGGGCTACATAGTGAGTTCCAGGTCAGTCTCAACTACATAGTGAGACCCTATCTTTAAAAAAAAAAAAAAGATATGTGAGATCTTGGCTTCCTGTGAGGCAGAGATTCAGAAACTATGACTGTTGAATAAAGGCTATCACCTTTGAAATGCTAAATACTCAGTAAAACAGTGGATTACATAAAAACCCATCTAGAAGCCATGACTCTTAGGGGTAATGACCACACAGAGCTCCCAAATATTGGTTCCTGAAGTCCATGAAACGGAACCCAGGTTCTTTGGAGAAATGACTGCTTCCTCATGAATTCAAGGAAAGTCAAAGGTGAGCCCAGAATACACTGTTATTCCAGAAGCCAAGAAGTGCACAGTGGCAAAAGGTGTTATGGCTAAAGGACACAGGAGCTCCCAGGCAAGAAGGGGCTCCCACTGCTCAAAATCAAGAAAATTACAACATGTAGTATACTGCTAACAATAGACTTTAACATATTTTTAAAAAGAGATACACATTTAGGAAGAACCAATTTAGTGAAAATGGCCATACTTCTAAAACTGTTATACAGATTCAATGAAATCCCAATCAAAATCCCAACAGAATATCACACAGAATTAGAAAAAAAAATCCTAATAAGAAGGAGAGGGATACTAAAAATGTCACAAAGGTGCTACTTTTACAGGGAAGCTTATTCTGTTTTAAACATCAAAAAGTTGTGATCTGATCAGTTAATTCATATATAGCAATGTATGCTCTCATATACTATTACTGACCTATGCTTTAAAACATAAATGCTTTGTAACAGATCCAAACTGTCCATTTCTCTGATGGGTTTTGAATAAAGTATTCCCCGTCCAATAAATAAATAAATAAATAAATAAATAAATAAATAAAATAAATAAAGAAAAAACAATCCTAAAATCAAAAGAGATCTAGAATATAAAAGACAATTCTGGGCAACAAAGGTAAGGCAGGAGGTATCACAATCCCTGACCTGAAATTATACTACAAAGCTTTGGTGATAAAAATAGCATGGTACTGGCAAAAGGACAGACCCAAGGATAAATGGAACAGACTAGAAGATGCAGAAACAACTCTAAACACACTCAGCCACATTATTTTTGACAAAGGAGCCAAATACCTACACTGTAAGAAAGTCTTTAATAAGTGGTGCTGGAAAAACTGGCTTTCCACATGCCAAAGATTGAAACTAGACCCGTATCTTTCACCATGCACTAGTCTAAAATCAAAATGGATCAGAGATCTAAATATTAAAACAGAAACAATAAATCTGCTGGAAGAGAGAATAGGTAGCACACTTGAGGACATAGGAGTAGGCAAAGACATCATGAACAAAACCCAGACTATACAGGAAATACTACAAAGAATCAACAACTGGGACCTCATCTCATTAAAAGGCTTTTTGTACAGCGAGAAACCACCAATAGAGTGAAGAGACAACCCACAGTGTGGGAAAAATTTTTTTTATCAGCTATTCAGATGAAGGAGGATTATCCAGAATATATAAAGAACTAAAACAAATCAGACCCATCAAATTTAAAGATCCATTGCAAAAACAGGCATCTGAAATAAAAAAAACATTTCTCAGATAATGAATTAGAAATGGCAAATAAATATATGAAAATATGTTCAGCATCACTGGTCAATCAAGAAATGCAAATTAAAACAACAGTGAGGTTTTACCTCACTCCAGGAAGAATGGCTGCTATCAAGAAATCAACCAATAACAAATGCGGGAGGGGCCACGGAGAAAAAGGAACCCTTTTCCACTGCTGGTAGGAGTGTAGTCTGGTGCAACCAATGTGGAAATCAGTGTGGAGATATCTCAAAAAACTAAAACTAGAGGTTCCATTTGATACAGCTATATCTCTTCTTGGTATCTTCTAGAAAGAATTAAAAGCATCATACCACAGTGGTATATGTGCACCCATGTTTATAGCAGCACAGCTTGTAATAGCTAAACCTTTAAAACAGCCCATTTGCCTACCAACTGATGAGTGGATAAAGAAGATGTATGTGTGTGTGGTTTTTTTTTTTATGCAATGGAGTACTAGTCTTCCATAAAGAAAGACGAACTTCAGACATTTATAGCTAAATGGATGGAACTTGAGACCATTCAGACACACATGTTTAAATACCACATTGCTTCTCTGGTGTTAGAAACTAAGTGTGGAAATAAGGACTGAGATGTATACAGCTATGAATAAATGGGAAATGGGAAGAAAGTGTTCAAATGGGAAGGGGAACGAGGAGGGAGGGAGAAAGGCAGGAAGGGACAAGAAAAAAAGTGAAAATAGAAGGAAAAATGTAAACAAAGCTCTTGTAAATATGGAGGGGAGGTGGCTTGAGGGGGGAATGGGATACAATAAAATATAATTTATTTTAAAAAAGAGATCCATGGGGTCGGATTTTCCACCACCTGCCTCACAAGCACAAGCACCTGAGTTTGATCCCTGGTACCAAAAAAAAAAAAAAAAGAGATCCAGGGCTGGGGATCTAGCTCAGTGGTTCTGCTGCCTACCTCGCAAGTACAAGGATCCGAGTATGGTCCCTAGTACCAAAATAAAAAATAATAAAAAAAGAGATCCACACGAGTTTGAGATCAGCCTAGCTTACATAACAAGATCCTGTCTCAACAGTTAAATTTCAGTTCCATGTCCCCCTATAGAAACAGAAATAAGGTGGCTTTCTGTTTCTCAACCACAACAGTAGAGGCAAGAAGACACTTCCAGGGAAAAATGATTTCCAAACTGAAATTGTGGAATACCCTGTCAGCTATCCATCAGGGGGAGGAGCGCAAAATAAAGATGAGGTCTCAAAACATTTACCTCCTCAGCAATGGAGAAAGTTCTTTTTGTAAATAAAGAGAGGAAATGGAAAAAGAGCAGGAAAGGAGAGAGCGGGAGGGCCAGTGATGGAGAGAAGTGAAGGGCATCTCCATGGGGATGTAAAGAGAGGCTCTGCAGGGTGACCTGGCACCATCCCAGAGGAAGGAGTGTGGAAGGGAAGCACACGGAAACAGTGGCATGCTGAGGACTGCCCATGTTTCTATCTCAAGAAAATACCGGATAATGTACCTAAACAAAATAAGGAAAATATGAGATCCTGAAAAGGGGAATCCCATCAGAAGAATGGCCTAGAGAACAGCAGTGCAACAGGTATAGGGAGATAAAGAAATTGAATGTCTGTAAAAAGGTTGTCTCTAAGAAAGGAGAAAGAACCTGGTCTTTTGAGAAAACGTGTAAGGACACCAGAAAGTATGGGAACCATTGGCCACATGCACAAAAAAAGTACGCAAATACAAAATAAAAAGCCAAGTAATTATGACACTTTGGAAAAAACAAAACAACGGGGCGATGGACTTGGCTCAGTGGTCCCACTGCCTGCCTCACAAGCGCAAGGGCCAGAGTTCGATCCCTGGTACCAATAAAACAAAACAAAACAAAAAGCATGATAACAGTGTCTACAGTGATAGATCATGAATCATAGATACATTGGCACAATAACAAAAATGTCAAATATTAGTCTAACCAAAAATTTTAACAAAGCCACTATTGGTGACAGATGAGTGAAGTGAAGCAGATATAAGGAAATAAATCTTCACCTACCAGAATAGGAAGCATATATCTACAGTGGATGCAGCAAAATATAGCAATAAATAAATACAGCTGAGAATTATTAAAAATTCCAGAGGAAAAAGATGAAAAATCAAAGTTGTGGGTGATATTCAGTACTTTCATTATTATACCAGTCACAACCAAGGATGTGGTGTGGACCACTGAGAGTGAGCAGTACACTGTCACTAGCCTAAGTACTATTGGACTTGGATGAAAAATTAAAAGGTAAGGAGAAAAAGTAATATCAGAAATGAAAAGAACATGACTACATAGACAGTAAGAGACTGAAAATAACATTTTATGCAAATATCATGAAAAGTTTTATTACTACATTTGAAAACAGCAAAAATGGACATTTTTCTAAAAATATAATTTATCAGACTGACTAAAGAAGAAACAGAAAGATTGCAAAGACATATAAGCACTGTAGTAAATCAGAAGTTTAAAATCTGCCCACAAATAACAATGACAAAAACAAATACAAAACAAACAAAAACTTTCGTGACCTAAATAATTTTAAAGGAAGATTCTATCAAACCTTTCAGTAACAGATAATTCCAATTGTATATAAAGTGTCTGAGAGGATGTTAAAAAAAAGGGCATAGTCTCAGCTCATTTCATGAGGCTGCTGTAATCTTGACAACACATCCAGAGAAGGCCAGTGGCAGTTAGGAAAATTATAAGTCAATCTCATGTCATGCAATCCTAAACAAAATGTTAACAAATCAAACCGAGCAAAATATTAAAAATATGGTATGACAAGTTGGGTTAACCTAGGATCAAAAGTATAGTGTAATATTAGAAAAATCTGTTAATACATTTCATCATTGTTAAAGGGTTAATAAAGAATATTTTTCAATTGGTGCAGAAAAAGCACTTGATAAAATTTCATACCCATTTACAGCAAAAGGTCTTTGCAAAGAAAAATAGGAACAGACAGGAATTTTCTATCTCCGTATCTACCAAAAACTAAACATTATTTTTAATGATAGAAATATTAGAAGTAGTCCTTTACCTACCAGAACAGGAAGCCAAAAATACATCTATAATATACATCTATAAAATATATCTGAAGCTAGAGGGAAAAGACCATGCCTGTTCTAGGAAGCAAACTGTGAATCTTATTAAATATACATTCTGTATCATTAAGTATCACACTTAAATGCCTTCAGATCAATTCCTATGCCTGAAATTGTCCACCTATTGTGAAAGCAAGTTACTTCAAGGTGTGTGATTGCCTCTTCTACAGCATGTTTGCCTTAGATTCAGTACATGTCAGGTGTATAGAAAACATGCTTCATTAAAGAACATCAGGAAGGTTTTCCTGAAGTGATTTAAAAAGTAACTTGTTTTTAGCATCAAAATTGATTGTAATTACCTTAAATGTAAATGGATGAAAATACTCAATTAAAAGACAGAGACCGGCAAAATGGAATAAAACCAAATCAATTATATACTGTTTTAAAAGATTCATATACAAATACACATATAAATTAAAAATGAAATAACAGGAAATGATATTCAATGCAAATAACCAAAAGAGCAGAGATGGTTACACTAATATCAGACAAAAGACTTTAAAACAAGTCTGTTAGAAGAGATAAAGGATATCATATCTTAATAAATAAAAGAGAGAATCCACCAAGAAAATATAACAATTACAAACATAATATATCTTACTGAGCATCAAAATATATGAAACGAAATTTACATAACTGAAGGAAGATACGGACAGTTCCAAGAAGCACTGGTGATTACTACTACTGCTACTACTACTACTCCTATGCTGTAAGTGGTGGTGATGAGGCAGAGAAACTGTGAAATATAAACTTATACAGCACCTATGAAAAAAGTTTAATGGTTTTTCAAAAATTTAGATATAGTTACCAAATAACCTCATAATATTCCTAGTACAGTATATATCCTCCAAAATTTAAAAGAAGTATTCAACAAAAGCCTGCATAGAAATGTTAATAGTGACATTATTCAAAAAGTAGCCTAAAAAATAATTTTCTTGGGCTGGGGATTTAGCTCAGTAGTTCTGCTGCCTGCCTCACAAGCGCAAGGCTCCAAGTTTGATCCCTGATACAAAAAAAAAAAAAGAGAACTTTTTTGTTCTTGTCTACAGAATACATTTACATGTACAGAACTTGAACAACTCAGAAAATATAAAGGAGAAACCAAATATAACCACAATTATCTCTTTTGCCCTTATTTTTCTTCTGTATACATTTTAATACAGTAGAATTCATACTCGGGTATAATTTTGAACCTTACTAGTTTATTTTTATAAAAGTATTTGTTTGTAACTATAACTTCTAATGGTTACAAATTTTTTTTTTGGTGGTACAAGAGATAACCTAGAGCCTCACGCTTGCTAGGCCAGCACTCTACCATTAAGCTACATCCTTAAGCCTTTTTCATTTTGAGAAAGGGTTTCACTATATAGCTTAGGCTGGTCTTAAACTTGCAATCCTCCTCCCCCAGCCTTTGGGTTTACAGGTGTGTACCACTGTGCCTGGCATTTACATGATATTAAATATCATAATTTATCCAAGAATTTTCCCATTTCTGGATTTCTAGGTCACTTTTATAAATGGTATTTCTATGCACACAGAATCTTTTGTTTTATAGATTATTTTCCAAGGATAGGCCGTTATCTTGTTGGAGATAATAATTGGTTTCCTCTACCGATTATTTGCTTCTCTCAAAACACAGTTTTGATAGAGCCCGTGTTCTTCTCCTCTCAACTTGTAGCTTAACTACAGTGGAAAAAGTAAAAGAGATAAGGAAGAGGAAAGAAAATTCATCAGAAGTATACTGTGTTGGGCAGAAATCAGAGCCAAAGAGTGCATGTGAACTTCCCTCTCACCTGCCCATTCCCAGGGGCTACCCCATTCCCTTCTCCCACTTTCATCTTTCTCCAGAAGCTTATTTCTCCTCTGAAAAACCACTCAAGAATATGAAATTCTTACCATAGCATTTCTATGTTCTTATATTTTGTCTCTTCATAAGGCTGTTTGGGTTGCTTCTTATTTCCAGTGGCTCCATGAACAACCATGTCATAAGCAGATTGAGAGCCTTTCTGGCTCAAGAACACATGTCTCTCAGAAATTTCATTAAAATTGTTCAAATCCATGTTAGAAACAGTATAGACGGGTAATTGTTGATATGAAAATCTTTTCTCTTCTTCATCTTTGTATTGTCTTTCTTTGTTAACATTCAGCACTGAGTGATACCCAGTAGAGTTTTTATATAATACCTCGTCAAAAGTTTGTTTTGGCAGAGCAAACATATTGGAGGTACCTTTGGAATTCTGGTTCCTAAGGGCACTCAAGTCTTGTACATCATTATTAGAAGCATTCCAAAGCATAACTGACCCATTCTGATTTTGGTTTTGTTGCTGTGTGGGAGTTTTATTCTGGATCCCTTGACTGACAATAAGCTCTTTAGTCATGAAGGACTTCATGCCATTCTGGTGTTTATGCAATCTCCGAACTCTGGGCTTTGCTGGTCTTCTGGAAGCTTGCTGGCCATTTACTGACTCAGAGGATTGACCTCTTACGACATCGCTTGATGTTTTACCTTCACATTCAGACAAGTGTTCCTGGTAATTCTAAAAAGATATTTTTGGTTAATGTAAAATTAGGAGACAGGTACTTTTCAAAAATTGTAGTATTTTTTGAACGGCGGGTTGAGACGTCTAGGAAGGGGACCGTGGAATTGCAAGAAGATAAGAAAAGAGCAAAGAGAGCCCTTTCTATGTTTCAGATAGAGGGTGAATAGTTGAGTGATTTCTTCAAGCAATTTTAGATTACAAGCCTAGAAAGAAATTGAGAGCTCAGAATGGGCTTTATATTAAGGACACATCTTTGGTTTAAAAATTATAAAGAGGAATGTCACCAAATTGGGGTGGTGGAAAAGCTTTATGTCCAAAGAGATGCACAGAAAGACAGTATAAATATACATCAAACTGTGCAAGCTTATTTGAACTGAATGAATATTTCAAATATCCTAACGAGAAAACATCAGTGCTTTGCTTTACTATCCAAGCACAAGTTCAATATGAAACACAGCTCAGATTATTAGCTCTTCTTACTCATACAGGTCAGAAGGTAGAAATGGCCTCTTCAGATAAAACAAATTAGATTTTATTCAGGGGATTCTAGGAGTCTGAGCTTTGACAGGACATCTGTGAAACCACAATGGTTGTTTTGCTTCTGTCTCTTAATATGGCCTGTACTTAGGCAATCAAACATCTGGGAGAAGATTTCAATTTCAGAACTGTCTTTATGCTTTATAAAGACTAGTAACAACAAAATGTACTGCCGATATAATAGATACACTGTGTAACTGTATTGTACTATAGACATTTAGGAATCTTTCTTAAGCAATAGAGTACTCATTACTCTGTGAAAATCTAGCTGAGTTAAGAGGTCTCTGGGAAAAATGATTAAATTTTTATTGAAAACAGTAAGATGAACATATGTACCAATGTGTTCTACAACTACAGCATATTTCTTCCTTTTTGAACACACATATCCCTAAAAAAATCTCTGTGGCCTGTATCTATGCAATACTGATTGAAAAATTGAACAATTAGATTGGCAAAAAAATCTTAAAAGTGAGTAAAACATGTTTTTACTCAAATTACTTCAGCTTGCTAGGAAGAATGATTACATGACTGTGATTTGAGTTCAGCTTTTATTCTACTTTTCTGATGCAACCCCTATGACTATTAAGTAGTGTTCTATTCCTAGTGAAACCCCACTACAATGATAAGATTGAGATTAGTGTACAATATGTTCTCTTTGGAAATGAACTTCCTGAGGGATTGACCATGCTCTAATTTCTATAGATTTTCAATTTTTACCTGCAGGGCTCCAAATAAAAGGAAACATTTTTCTGTATCCAGATAAAAAAGTTCTTTCTTCCATGCAATATAAAGAGCTGCATGGAAGAAAGGCCAGCAAGAAGACTGCAAATAGAGAACTCCAAGAGAATCCTTCCTTGCAGGGGATCCCAAAGAAATTGCTATTTTACAATCTTAAAGATGTGTGCATGAAACACAAAGGCTCTTTTCATGGCTGTCATCACTGCTCATGAAAGTCAAAAGAACCCCCTTTGCTATGATCTGTAAGTGTTAAGTTGATAATATTTTTCTTTTGAATATTTATTCAGCCCTTAAGTCTCTAGAAAAAAAAAATGACTCCCAACTTTCTGCTGCTGACTCTAACTTTCTCAGTTTTCTCTCCTCAGTCCCATCAAAACAAAAACAAAAAAGAACAAAAAACTTTATGATATTTCCCTTCTCAGGTACCAGATCTGAAATCGTGGGTTAGCACTTGATTTTAGTCATGTTGTTTCCTTTGCTGCTGACAACTCACATCACAATAGTCCTCTTCACAGGGTGCTTTATCAACAAGGCCAAGGACTCATCATTTTACAAACTTCAATTGTCTCAAGTGTTAAATCTGCTATTCACACAAATGTAAGTGCCAGAGATGGTATTTCAGTCCCCAGAAAGGAAGACATCTATGGTTTGATGTGATTTCTTTCACCTTCCAAGCAGCCTACTTGAGATCTGCGGTTTACTGAAGATTTATTACCCTACAATGGAGGCATCAGGTGTCACTCTTTAGGTGGCAAGACCTGAGCCCCCTGAAGTTAATATCCAAAGCCATTCTCAGGCTATTTAATCTCCATCAACGCTGAAATCCTCTATTTCATCCTGCTCTCTCACTGGGCTCCTTTTGTTACCAACACCAGCAATCGGTACATCCTGCATGCACTCAGAATAACTGCTTAATGGCAGTAGGTTTTTGTGTCACACACAAAATGTCAGTACTGGAAAATCTTGATGCCAAATGCTGGGATGATAATTTCTTAGTAAGACTGGTTCTTAGTCATTAATGTGCACTCATTACCGTGCCATCCAGTAATGAACAGCATTGTCTGGCTGTTTGTGTCTTACAGAACTGCTTACATGTCATAGGCAGAAGGAAGAATGAAAGCTTTGATTCTAACTAGAAAACTCATCTGTCCAACACAAAGGCTACTCTTGGCTGCCTGACTCAACCCTCAAGCCTTAAGATTTGTATCTGGCCTCCAGGATCAGCTCTGAGGTAGAGGAACTTCTGTTGTGATGTTTTTCTGCTGCATTCATTAATAAGATACAAGTTCTTTGAGCTTCAGTTACAAATCCCACCTGATAATAAGAAAAATTTAAGCAGACACTAATTGGCTTTAACTTTCACTGTTGGAAAGGAAGGACTCAGTTCAGGTGAATAGAAGAGGAACAGATCTAATAATAGTGTTTGAAGCAAAACCAAATTCACAGCTCTTTGGGAAGACTGCTCAGAGGGTGAGTTCAAGGACCATGACAGTACTTAGCAAAAGATCCTTCATGCCTTTCATATTGTCATTACCTTTTACTTGTCTAGAAAGTCAAGAATTATTTTAAAGTAGCAAGAAGGAGCACCTTATTTCATCTTTTTTTTTTTGGTACTGGGGACCGAACTTGGGTCCTTGCGCTTGTGAGGCAGGTGGTGGAACCACTGTTATTTCATCTTTTTAAACATGTACTCAGTTGAAGAACTTTCTGTCTTTTCTCCTGACAGTAAACATCTCACTTGGTGCAATGACTTGAATGTGTCTTCCCCCAATTCATATTGGGGGAAATGTCCTAAATTAGGATAGTCCTAAATTAGGAGGTTAGTAAAAATCCTAACCTCCCCAGTGATGGTTTTAAAAGATGGGCCTTTGAGAGATGATTGAGTCACAGGGGTAGAACCCTCTGGAAAGACAGGGTCAGTGCTCTTATAAAAGAGTCCCATAGTAGCTCTGTCATTATTTTTCACCTCAGGAGAACACATTGAAAAGGTACCATCGATGCACAAGGAAGCCCTCACTGGACACTGAACCTGGTGGTTCTTGACTTGGGATTCCTCAGCCTCCAGAGTTGTGAGAAATAAACTTTTGTCATTTACAACCCCCACTCCCCCAGTCTCTGGTTTTTGTTACACCAGCCCAAACAGACGGATAGCAGGGAAGAATCTTTTGTGGGTGGAGTGTTCTTCCTGTTGCCTGGCACAGGTGCTGGGATAAGTACTGCATTCAGTGTGAGTGTTCCATTTGACAGGATGTCAAAGCCTGTGAGGATCCCAGGAAAGCACAGAAGGATTTTGGACAGTAAGATCTATGTGGAAGAGTTCAATAAATACTCCATTCAAAGTAAAGTTTTTATGCATATACAAGACTCTCATATAAAAGGTCATCAATTTTCAGATGGGGGCGCGCAGAACCCTAGACATGCTAGGCAAGTCCTCTACCACTGAGCTACATCCACAGCCCCATCCGTGGTATTTATTTTCTTGCCTCACTCTATCTCTGGGTTCTCCTTGTTTCTAGCATGTAAATGTGCTTAATTCTCCTCTGAAAAAAGCAAAAGCTACTCTCATTGGATCTATTCTCTGCTTCATTTCTACCTGTCTCTCAACTCAGAGCCAAGCATCTTGCCTGGATAGGCTGCCCTGGTCTCTTCTCACCTCTCATTGGGCCTCTGCATGCAGGGCAGGGTTCTCGGCTCTCTTCCCTTCTCCCACTCCTCATAATCACTAGGCCATCTCAGCAATTCCCAGAGCTTCAATCCACAAGGAAGTGTTTATGGTACAAGTGGACATGGCTAACTCTAACACCTCTCCTGAGTTCTACAACCAGATCATATTCCTCCTTCCCCAACTCAAAATCGGGCCCCATCCTGTCCTCAGACTCTTCCTTCTTCCCCAGGAACAAAAGCTTCCTTTTCTTCCTCAGTGGCACTGTACTACTAATCCAACACTTACACCCACGTCTTACTTTCTATCTAAGCAGGTTCTAAACTACCATTTCCTAACCATTTCTGCACAGAGGTGGAGGGACCAGGTGCTGTCCTGACCTGCCAGAAGGTTAGCCCAGTGGTCAAATCCACCTACCACACTAACAGGCAGAACCACTGAGCTAAATCCCTGGCCTGATGCTCTCATTTCTAAGGAGGCTCTTCTGTGTTCTTAGGGTAGAATTAGATCTTTTAGTGTCATTCAATTTTGTATCTACTTTCATATTATTACACTAGGATAATCACATAACCATATTCCCTCTAACGTTTTGAATGCCTAGAGGGACCAATAAGCAATCTTTTAAATTTTAAGTTTTGAAGATTTAAAAAAATGTTTTGTTGTTTTTAATCACACTTTTTTTGGCCAACCACTCAATTACTAGTTCTTGAAATAGGTACTCAATATAAATATGTGTAGTATGAATTGTTTTTGATTTCACATAAAGATATATTCTTGGCAGTGAGAGTTATTTGTTGTTAGGGTGGGTTTTCTGATTTGAAAGTCTTCTTTCAAAAAAACAAAACATGAAAAACTTTCAATCTAGTGGGGCGGTACACACCTTTAATCCCAGTTAGTCAGGAGGCTGAGGCAGGAAGATCATAAGTTCAAGCCCAGTGTGGGCAATTTAGTGAGACCTTGTCTTGAAATAAAAAATGAAAAGGGCTGGGACATAGCTCAGTGGTGGACAGTTTGCCTAGCCCTGGGCTTGATCCCAGTACTGAGGAAAAAAAAAAAGACAAAGAAAAATAAATTTCAAATGAGGTCTATTTTCACTTTGAGATGCAACAAATGACTTTCAAATATTTCTTTAACAATCAATGACTATTTACTGGGCACCAGGTTTGGGTAACACATCATAGTAAGGGATGTACAGGAAAATACAATCCTAACATATAAGGAGTTTGTGGAACAGTTGGTAAAAAAAGAAACACAGGCAGCAGTGAAAGACATATAGCCCTGAGTGGTGGGAGAGGCTGAGATCTTCCTGTAGGAGGTGGTGCTTGAGAAGGGATCAAAATGAAGGCATTTCCTCCTTTTCTTGAGACTACTTCATAAAACACACAGAATTATCCTATCTACAATTAATCACAAATCAGTCTCTACCTCTCTCTGTCTCTCTCTCTCCTTCCTATGTCCTTGTCTTTTTTTCATTTCTCTCTGTTTGCACTTTTCCCATGCCTTTTTTCTGTGTATATTTAAAGTGTGTTATGAAGATGTTCTTCTAGGAAATAGAACCTTTGGAAAAACAGGTAGGGTTAATTAGCAGGCTGAGCAAGAATTGGCCAGTCTTCCTCATAGAATGGTGGGTGACTATTTTCAGACATCAAAATAAGCTCTTTAGTGACAAGAACTCAGTGACAAACATTACTTATACTTAGCAGTATCACTTGAAGCACACTTAACATGCAATCTAGCAAGTAACCTTTAGCTGTCGTGCTCTTTGATGCCATTTGTCCTCGGGATTGATGACAGCATTTTCAGTCTCTTTGGCATTCTGAACAGAAGTCTTGCCAGTTACTCTGATGGAGTAGGAGATCTAAGAGGGTAAAACATATATACTATGTTAACTGGATTCATTTTAGTCTCAGTATCACGTGGTTCAAGGCTGTGTAATCTTCTTGAAAGAGGTCCTGCAGAGCTAGGTTTTATTTTAAGAGTTTGTCTCTTTAGTCTTCAGGGGCCTGGTTGTTCCCAAGGAAAATGAGAATAAATAATATTTCCCCTTGGAGGTATGATGGGAGAAATGGTGCTTTGAGGTCAAACTCTTGTCACTTTAAATAATGGGTGTCTAACCTTTTGGTGTGCCTGGGCCACAATAAGTGAAGAATTGTCTTGGGCTGAATATAAAATATAAAGTTAATGTTTATGTTTTAATTTATTAAAATGTTTTATGAAATAACACAATAAGTCCAAGTTTTAATAAGAAAACATACATGCCTGCTTAATAACAATAAATTCCTGTCTTCACAGGCACACACATAGGTAGGCTGAAATACTATTACTGGTCATCACTACATTATACTCACCAAGTCACAGAGTGCACGCATCTGATATACTCACTGTATGCCATTTCGAATGGAGTGACTGGGTGTGGCCGGCACAGCAGGCAGTCAGCCCTGCCCTGTGACCTCCTGTACACAGCGTTCCATTGTCATCTATATAGTATGGGCTCATGCTCCATGCAATCAAGTCATGAAAAACTATTGCTAAAAATCTCATACTGATGTTAAAAGTTTACAATCTTGTGGGGCCACATTACTAGCTGTCCAGGCCTGCAGGTTGGACATGCCTGCTGTAGACTCCATACATACTCAGGTGACCTAATTTTTTTAGGGTTCTCAATTTTAAAAGTTACCTGCTGGTAGATACTGCAAACAAAATTTGATAATATCCACAAAAATGATGAAATAACACTATTCAGATGCTCCCTGACTTATGACGGGGTTATGGCCTAAAAAACCCATTTAAAGACTTGAGACATTTTTTGGTAAATAGATACACTTTGAGACCATACTTTTAAGTGAAATAAATTGGACACAAATGTTTAAGTATCACATTGTTTCTCTTGTGAGAGGAATCCAAAAATGTAAATAAGGACCAAAATGGATGACAGATATTGGGAAGTAGGAAGAAAATGTTAAAATGGGAAGGGCAAAAGGGAGGGGGGAGTGGGGAGGGAGAAGGGAAGGAAGGGAAAGAAAAAAAAAGAATAGAAGAAAAAAATGGAAACAAACTTTGTAAATAAGGGTTGAAAGGAGGGGAGAACAGGGCAAAAAGAACAATCAAGATATATTATGCGTAGGTACAAATTCCCTGCAATGAATGTGATCATTATGTATAACAAAAGTGTACCAATAAATTTAATTTAAAAAATCTTAGGTTGAAAAATACACATAATACAACTAGCTTACCAAACATCAGAGTTTAGCCTAATCTACCTTAAATGTTCTCAGAAGACTTACATTACCCTTCAGTTGGTCAAGATCATCTAACAAAGCGTGTTTTATAATAAAGTGTTGAACAGCTCATGTTACTTTTAAAATACCATACTGAATGTACAGGTGGTCACACTTTCGCATTATTGATGATAATTTTAAGTCAAGATATCTACACTCCAGGATGATGACAGCACAGAAGTAACAATATCCATACACATGGAATGCGCATGGAATAACAGTAACTGTCCTAAGCCCTTAGTATACAACCCACAGTGTGTGTTAATCCTCACAACTTTACCACATTTGTACTATTATCCTCTCCTTGTAAATTAAAAAAAAAAAAAAAAAAACTTTGGTGCAAAGAGGTTAAGTAAATTGCCCAGGATTAACAAGTTAGGAGAACAAGTACAGAGAAGGGTCAAGCAGTCTAACTCCAGACCCCACATGTTTAACTACTTTGCTACTCTCACTTATTAGAAACCCGAACCTGCACCTGGTACTTAGTGAATTTGAAAGATACAGATCAGTGACTCTGAACCTTAGATAATTAGGAAGAAAATCAGGAAGTTTAAAAAACAATACTAATCCTTTGATCTCCCCACGAGCCCATTAAATCACAAGGTCTGGGAGTGGCTTTTAAAATTTGAAAATGTTAGTATTTTTAAAACTCCCCATTTATTATTTTTTAAGGGGAGGGGAGGATGTTCTCCAGGCGAGTCTAATCTGCAAGGCAGGTTTAAGGACCACGAGTGAAGGCAGGCAGGATTTAGGACTCCAAACTATTCAATAGATGGCCGTTCATTGCCTGCTTTAAATCAAGTCAGTCTCTGTGCTATGTGAAATTCTAGCCATCAGGATGCACCGCAGGAGCAAACTTAAGTCTTGATGTTGGGAGAGATACTGGACATTAACATCAGGCTGGATGTGTGCTCATCTACCATCTGCCAGACACATGCCTACTTCCCTGAAGTCATTACCCATTTATCAGTACTAGAGTATATACATGCCATGACTTGAGGACAAGAAAAAGAATTCCTGCATCATGCAAGATAAACACAGTGCACCGTCACTGCGCACCCACGTGCCAGAAAGCTCTTCCTGTATGAATAGAAATACATCTTTCCACATTTTGTCCGGAAAGGACTCTCTGGAGTAACACAGAATAGGTGCATCCTTTTTCAGACAATAGCCCCACACTGGTAGCAGCTGAATCAGGGGTCCCTCCTATGCCTTCTCTTGCACAAAGGATCTGTGCTAGGACTTTTCTACCATTCCTCCTGTGGCACTAAGGCTTGGATCCAGGGCCACTCTCTCACTCAACTGTTAAACCTCTCTTTCTGAATGGATGGAATTCATTTTTAAATTTAGTTTTAGGACTTTACACTTATTATTATGAAATTTCCTCTGCAGACTCTACAGTGTGAGAAGTGGCCAGGCATACATTTGGAACAAACATGGGGTTTGGAAACTGTCATGTTTGTGTTCAAATTCTCCCTCTGCTGCTTACTTTTTCAGTGTAACCTTGTATTTAATTTAGAAAGAGGTAAAAAATGTGTTAAATAGTGATAAGTAAATATCTGACAATGAAGATAACTTCATTCTTCATCAATGTGGCTTTCATGGTATAAAAGAGACAACACTGTGTTTCTCCTATTTGAGTGTAACTTTACCTGTCCCTTAAATAGCTCTACTAACTTCTTTAAATTACTATCATAATTGCTGTGTACACATACTGCAAATAAACAGGTAGACAGTGTGGAAGATTACCTAAATGTCAATCTGTAAGTGCAAAAACTGAAAATGTTTCTACTTGAATCCTCAGTACTAAAAGTATAAGGGGAAATAATGTACTATTAGGTAATCTCCATGTTTTGAAGGACTGACCTCCTCTGCAAACAGAAAGCTTCACCACACGAAACATCTAACTTTTAAATGCTGCTGCTCAAGGCTAGGAACCATTCTCAAGTTTCCATCTTGGCCCTTCTTATAGCACTGATTCCAAAAACACTTGAAGATTATGAATGTATGAAGTTTTACCACATTTGCCAATGTTACTGCAAAGGTTTCCATCCCTTATTCCCTTTTATGCCTAGGAAATAAAAGGTACTTGGTATAGTTAATTCAGCATATCAATAGTAATATTAATTCCACTGACAATGATGTCTTAAATAGTTCGGACAAAGTTTACAAAATGAAAATGTAGTGTCTGATGCAGAGAATGAAGGAGGTACAATATTTCACCCACAGGCTGTTTGGGTAGAACTCGGTGGCAGGATCACCCCGGTGAGGCTTGCTGGGCAAGCAAAGCATACTTCTACATTATCTCTTTGAAAGTGGAATGGGACACAACCTCTGCCAGCTATTTTTTTTTTTTTTGGGTGAACCATTCTATTAATACCAATCAAATCGAGAAAATGATCAAATGAAATTGCATTTTGAGCATCATAAGCTGTGTAATGTCTATTCTGTTAAATTGGGGCCTATAATTGCTTCTCTACTGAAAAGATACAACAAAGACAGCAATCACGGCATGTCATTATCCCAGAGTAGAAAACCGGCCTTTGCAGGGAGGACTTCAAAGGCTTGTGGTTCTCGAATTGCATTTGGCTGCTATTGTTGAAGCACGGGCAATCTTGATTAGGTGTTTACACTGAGGTAAGGCGAAGAGCAGAGAGTCTGAGTGCCTGGGTCTAGAGCCATTAAAAAATTGTACATTATGTTCCTTGCTTTGAAGTGAGGGTTTGTAGGTAGGAAAGCAACTCAGACTGAGTACAGCTGAGCTAGACTGGGCTGCTACTTCTCTCTCAAAGAAACTCATCAGGTTCTTACAGAATCAGACAGCACCGCAGAGAGCAAAGTTGATGTTTTATTCAGTACTGTATGTGAACTAGTGGACCTGCAGAGACATATATTGAAACATGTGTCAGCAACCCTATTAAATTCTACAATCACTGGAGGTTTTGCCCCTTTTTTCTTTATATTTGTTTTTTCCTACTAACTTTGTGTTTTTATGTTGTGGGGGACCCCATATTAATTTATGAAGGCCTTTGTTACACTCATTCCTTGATGGTATAGTATTGACAGCTAACAGATGTCCAAGTTAAATAAGCCAAAGTGCCTTATTTTTAAGGTAGTATTTGTTTACTGTCACTCCAATACATTCATCAATAATCCCTTTGTTTGGGCTGAATCAGTGGATTCAGAAGTGTTGTCTTTACTCCCTTGGATGATGGTGTGATATGAAGTATTTTCTTCTCTGCCCTGTTTCTGACACATTTTGCTATGTCAGTTTATGTCTGCAAACATCAGCATGGCTGTTGCCTGATTTACACAAGGCCAGCGAGACGATGATATACTCTGTCACCAGCTGCCTCACTAATATTTAGTGCATCTGTTTTAATTATTCAAGAATATTTAGAAAAAAACACACCAGAATTATTTTGGCTCTGCTGTCGGCTACATTCTCTAGTCCTATTAAACAAGAACATTTCAGAATATATTTAGCAGGTGTATGCTCAATGAGAATTTGATGAAACTGAAACCTTCGGATATATTATTTTTTAAAATTTATTTCCAGTAAAAGATATTTGAGCTTCTAAAACTCCCCTAATGAATCATCAGTTTACTTAAAAACACCACTTTACTTTTTTTGGGGGGGTAGGAACCGGGGATTGAACTAGGTAAGGGTCCTTGCTCTTGCGAGGCAGGCAACAGAACCACTGAGCTAAATCCCCGGCACAAACACTTTACTTTTTGATTATCCTTCATCCTTAAGGCTTATAGAGTCACTTAGTGCTGGGTTTCCATTTACTTCTTCAGCCTCAGCTCCTTGCCCTTTTCCTCCTTTGATACCTTTCAGCAGATGAGCCACATGTACTTTTATTGCTGGGACTGTGCACAGGCCATTCTTTGCCTGGAAGTTTCCTGCCACTGCAATATTTTGACCCATCCTATTCACAGTTCCAGCCTTGGCTAAAATGTGACTTCCTCCAGGAAGTCTTCCTGCTCTCTCAGAAGAGGTGGGGATAGATAGATATGCCTGTGAGCAAGCCCTTGGGCAATGCCCTTTCCCTTTTGTAATAAACGTCACCCAGGCACTTAGGTTTGATTTCCTTTCTGGACTGCAAGTTCCATGAAGGCAGAACAAAATGGGGTACAATGTGCAGGGATTATGCATTCTATAGCTCTGGAGTGTGACTTCCCTGCACTCCCTGGTGGCTATGAATGTCCCTGCTAACTAGTATCTGGATGCTTAATATAACTGAATAACAAGTTCAACCCATACTGCTTATTGAACTTTCCATTTCCAACAGCATATACTCTATTCTTTGTAAAAATAAGTTCTGCAGCCAAGGATTCAAACCATCGACTGAAAATATTTGGAAAAAAAATTTGTAGTGAACATGTACAGACTTTATCACTATTCCCTAACAATACAGTATAACTACATACATAGAATTTGCATTATATTAGATAAGTAACGTAGAGATTATCTGAAATATGTAGGAGGTTGTATATAGGTTTTATGCAGAGACTATGACATTTCATGTAAGGGACTTTATCATCCTTGGATTGTGGTATCCTCATGATGATCTAGAACCATTCCCCTAGGAATACGAGGGGACAACCTTATAGGAAGTGACTGAAAATCCAGTGTGGGTTTAAATTTTAAAAAAATTACAGTGAAAGATACATTATCATTACCCCCCATACACACTTTGAACACACTTATCCCATCATTCTTGCCACTTTCTGAAATGGTTCTGAAAGTTCTTTGTCATTAATGTCTTTAGGTGCTCTGTTATTGCTGCCTTGATGTCCTAAATCAATTCAAAATATTTACCTTTCACGATCCTTTTGACTTTGGTAAATGGCAGAAGTCATAGTCCCAGATCTGGTGGATAAAGTGGCTGAGGATGCACTGTAGTAAGTGTGTTTTTCTTTTGGTAAAAATGAAAAAGGGTTTAGTCAAAGGTAGGTCTGCGGAACCACGCAGAGCACACCATAATGTTTTTTATAAACCTACTTTCCCTTCATTGGATGGCACTTGGCAGTAGCATTCACATTTTTGATCACACCTCTAAAGACACTCACAAATGAGGACTTCCCCAATTGCTTCAGAAAGTAGCAAGGACAATGGGATTGAGAGGAGACCACCCTCCATATGGAATTCAGTTACTATGGGTTAACTGTGTTATTAGGTAACTATGGGTTAACAAGGTAACTATGCTTTGTGGAATGTACCTGAGTAGCCATGACAACTTCTGTAATCTGTCACCAAAGAAGCATAATGGACTCAGAAAGTCTTGCCAGAACTCTTTGCTCCTTCCCACACATCCCCTGCTCGCTTTGTGTAAATCCTGCTTGCTCTATTTCCAGGGAAACTCCAATGGAAGTAAGCCTCGTAGATGTAAAAGGAAGCATATAAAGAACAAACTTCTATTCGGCACTCTTGAGACAGACAGCAGACATTTGCTGAGCCACCACCACTGCGCTTATCTTTGTGTTGAGTGGTCTGTCCAGGGTCCTCACAGTCTCCTGCTTCAGGGTAAGTGTATATGAAGTAAGGCAGAGCATTTTGAGGGGTTTAATGACAATATATCTTTTACTATAAGATTTAAAAAATTTATTAAAGGGCCGGGGATTTAGCTCAGCAGTTTGGTGGCCTGCATGGCAAGCGCAAGGACCCGAGTTCATTCCCTGGTACAAAAAAAAAAAAAAAAAAAAAAAAAAAAAA